CACAGGCTGCGTTGAGAAAAGAAACGGTTGATTGTTCAATTTTTTCAGTAAATCTAATTAATGTAAAAGGAATCTAAAAATACACGACGTTGTTTCTCAACGATTGCAAAAGTATTCCGTTTTTAGTACTGAGTTTTTACCTCCGTTCACAAATTTACTCAATTAATTGAGATTTGTAGAGACGTTAATAGAGTGCATAAATAATTTATCTCTTTTTTTGTTGTCAATCCTCTTATTTTCTCATTCAATGTATGATCGATTTGATTCCAATCGAATGCAATTGCTGACATCAATGACGTCATTTACGAGCACGTTCGTAAACAATGATAAGAATTACCGCATTAATTAATTAATATTCGCCTTGGAAAGATATATCTGGGAGTCAACTTTTTATTTTTTAATTTACAATTCAAATTGTAATTTTTTTTCAGTTACCAATCCTTAATTTTCAATTCCCAGTTTAATTATACATCTTCAAACTCTTCGAAGTTCAAAAGATATGTACATTTTCAAAGAGTGCAATCTCATCAGGGACGTTTATCTAACTTTCAAATTTCGATAATTGCTCTTTTTGAAACTTTAATAACAATGTGAACAAATTTATTAATTTTCTGAGTTTTCTTTTCTTTATTATTTTTTCTATTATTATTTACATATATATTTTCCGAATTTTCTTTTTTCGATCGATCGAGTGTCATTTTTGCGTGGCATCGATCAATTTGCTTCTAATATCCGCATTAATTGTGTTTGCTGCAGATTACCCTTCTCCCGCATCTGTTTCTTGCTCCTTATATCTCTTTCTCATATTTCATCGCGTCTCGACCCTTACGCGCATATCGGAAATCGCGAAGGTTATCTTGTAGAACCGCGCGCATATAACACGGCCATTTTCCCCGCTGGCCGGTTGCGATACTAGCGCCAAGTATTTTCAACAATAATAATGCCGGCGGGAGATAGTGCGAAAAAACATTCATCAAAAGTCCATTAACCCCGTAAAAGAGAACGTGCACGCAAGCTTTGTTTCATAAAGACCATTTTAGATAATCTACAGTTTGTGGCAGATTTCACACGGAATAAAATCCCATTTGTAATTTTTATGATGCCGTACCTATTTGTGGCTTTGAGTATTTAATTTTTATATCATATACAAACACATGACATATTATATAATTATAAATAGAATTGATCTTAACTTCTAATAAATAATAAATTATAGATTATTTAAAGCATAAAAAATATAGTTTTAAAATTTCGGAAAAAATAATTTTTTTCCCATTTTTCCGCTGATTTTCTCGATTCCTTTCCTAAGGATAGAAAATTATGTGTAAGATTTGCCATATTTACTTCTTTCCGAAAAAAAATAATTTTAGTTTTGTTTCTGTAATTTGAAAAAAAAAAGTTTTTTCAAAATTATTATAATTAAGAAAGATTAGATATGACTCTTATACGTTTTTATATAACGTAATACTACCTAAAACAAAAAGTTAAAAACGGATATCGGCTAAAAATAACTATAGAATAAAATAAGCATAGATATGCAACACATTCTATGTTTCAGTATCTAGCCAATCGCGAGAGAGGTGCCGCTATCAGAGCTATCGGCGTACATAAAAATAATTTGTTACTCACGTGAGAAAAATGCGTATATGGAATTCAAAACTAAATTTTTGTTATAAAAAAATCTTTTTTCATCGGACAAATTTAATTTACCGCCATTTTATGGACCGGGGTCGGTAAAATACATGTATCGGCAACCGGCCGGAGAGTGAAAATACCGGCTAGGCCGGTTCATTACCGGCCAGTTGGCAATCCTAGACGTGTAAAATAGAAATGTATTTTGGTAAAACTAAACAGAATTTCTGGTTATCTTAATAGGACTTGATATTTTATAATTAGAATGTTTGATAACCTTAATTATACATATGTTATTCATTAAACATTCTCTTCCAACGAGCTGTAGATATGAGGTACCGCCCGCGCCGCCAGATGGACATAGTGGAGTTCTACTTCTCGTAAGTAAAAAACTACACAGGATAGAATAAAACACTGAGAAAAATGGTCTGGTTGGATTAAATAGTAATTCTAGTGGAAAATGGACGAATCAGAATTTTCTGATTAAATCTGCTAGAATTCTAGTTGAGGTAGCTAGAATTCTGATTGGTATAATTATTCTGATAAAAATAAGAATTCTGGTAAATTTTACCAGAAATATTGTATTAACCAGAATTCCGGTTATCTCAACTAATAAGTTTAACCAGAAAATTCTGATTCGTCCATTTTCAACCAGAAATTTTTTTCAGTAAAGGTGTAGCATTATAAGATTTTTCACCGATATTCTAATATTGTAAAATCTGAATCCTTGAATATGTCCCTAAAATAGAAGACAGAAGTAAATGAGAGACGTACTTTGATAATACAGTTTTTAGTTTTGTACAAAAATTAATTTAAGAACTTGTGTGCGCAGTGGTAATTCTTGGAAGTTATATGTGCCAAAACGTATTAATATGTGATCCCTAAAATATTAACAGAAATATAATGCTGCTTCCCACAGTAAAATTATGTGCATATTAGCATTAGGTCGTTGACCTCAAGAATCGAGTATCAAGAAATTTTGATATGTAATCAACAGAAAGGAATTAATCGTATTGATTTAATAATAAATTTAATTTCGACAAGAATTCCGATTGGAAATCGGAAATATGGAAATATCTATACTTTACTTTGTTTTTCCCTCGAGTTAGTGGCCGTCATACTGAATTTATAAAGTTAGAGATTCTATGTTATTTTTACTTGATGAGATGAGAAGTAGTAAACAAACGAGTGAACAGATACTTATAAATAAAAGAAAAGATGTGAATAAATAGAAAAATAGACTATTCTGCAAAAATCTCAAAATGTGAAAAATAAAACGAAAATTAAAGCGTGATAAGAATGAAAGCGTTTCTTAAGTATGTATTAAGTGTATAATGATAGTTTTCTCTGCAAGAAGTAACTGGAATTGGAAATTTGTACTTTCTACGTAAAAATGAATGTTATGGTATATGCTTATGAAACAAATTAATAAGAGAGATCCATATTTATATTTAACAATATAATTTTATAGTTTCAATAAAAAGTTTTTCATTTTATATTAATTATTTTGTAAAAACATGTCTACTTCTCATTGAAATAATTTTTGACCAAAATCTAAATTACCGCCAAACACTCGTATTACTTTCAAATACAATATAGAAAAATCTGTGATTATTCATGTTAAAAAGTAAGTGTAACATTTGCATCTTTAACCTTTAAACGCATCATTATGAGAACAATATACTGATGGCATAATTTGATTGCTTACAATTTATAATTTTCATAAAATATATACAATTTTTTTTCAATCAATACATCAGCTGTCAAGAAACATAACAGTACCAACCAAAAAATGTATTTATTAATAAATTTATGTATTTGTAAATGTAAGTATTTATTTAAAAAAAAAGTTATAACCAATGAAAAAAAGTATTGGAGAAAAAGCCAGGTATGTCATATCGAAAAGGTTGTAGTACATGAAGAAATATTAAAAACAAATCGGCAATCACAAATCGACGATTTGTTTCTGATATGCAGTTAGTAATTTGAAGGAAAAATCTAACCTCTACAAGATGAAAATTCGCACGTAGATGACTTGCAGGGAGAGAAAGATATTTATCACTGCCTAATCATCTTTAATAACGCACTGCGATGTAAACATCGGATAAATATTTCGTTCCGCAAATGTAAACGACAGTTGCGAGCGTATAATAGTAATAAATATAGTTGCGCAACGCGATTCATAATTTGTTTTTGGCTCGCACTTAATAGTTCGAAGAAACCTTGAAAATTATAAGATCAATGAATCTTAAATATTATCCTTAAATTAAATAATTCTACGAAAAGACTCTTTAATTCTTGATGAATCAAACTAAATAAAGATTGAAATCGCAGAAAATATGAGAAATTGACTGATTTTGCTTGATGAAACTGGTTTAGTTCATTAAAAATGAAATACTTCAAAGAGATCTGAACTCAGACTTTGCTACAGTCCTTGCTATAAATAGCGATTCTAAGCTATACGAATAATGAATGTAGAGGAGAAAAAGAAAGCTAAGGGCCACAGCAGACAAAAAATTTAAGCAGTAAGACGTAAGCCGAAACATAAGCAATAAGGAAATCAACATGTTGAGTCGATTCTACATAAGCCATAAAAATCGACCAATCACAGTGGAATGTGAGGAGAATAATCAACTATGATTGGTTCAATTCTCATGTCCGTGTCACACTACGCATTGGAGATTGAGGATTGCGAATTAAGGATTAGAATTCGACCAATCAGGTAATTTTAAGTTTAATCCGTTTCGTTCTAATTGGCTGAATTCTAATCCTCAATTCGCAATCCTCAGTCTCCAATGCGTAGTGTGACACGGGCATAAGGCCGGAATCAGACTACGCATGAAATTTGACCAATAAGGACAAAGAAATTTTAGCTCCTTTCGTTTCGATTGGTCGATCTTCAATCTCAATCTTCAACCTCAATAGCCTAAGAATGAAAGCCATAGCACACACCTTTCGTAAACAGTAATCATAAGACGTACCGTAAGAATCAGCCAATTAAAATTAAGGGTTCAAAAGAATTCTCGATCGTAATTGGCTGATTCTTACGGTACGTCTTATGGTTACTGTTACGGAAGGTGTGTGCCATGGCCTTTAGCCAATCACAGTCTAGAAGTGTCAAAAACTCTCTGCTCTGATTGGTTAATTCTTATGGTCTCTACTGTGATCGGGTAATTCGCTTAGTGTTTACGTTTTATTGCTTAATTCGTTGTGTGTTCCTAAAAGAATATTCCATAAATGGAAAATTGACATTTCCAAAAAAAAATGGACGTCTCCTAAATTCGGAGTCTCCGAAGGAAAGCTAGATAAACAAACGCCGTTAACACGTGGACGATCCAAAACATCGCGGTCATAACTTCTCTAATTACCATGACGATGAAGATCCGTCGTACCGCCTGCACACCTCAACTGTAAGAGCATGCCCGGTTGATCGTTAACATGTTCCAAGGTCCCGGTGCTGCCCCTCCTTAATTCCTGGCGTCTTTTCTCGAGATCAGGTGCCATCAGACTCTCAAGAATATTTTCGCGACCACGTCGTTCTCTTGTCGGGGGGGGGGGGGGAACACCGAATCGCTCACAAATCACTGAACGATCTCAACGAGCTTAAAACTCCTTTCTGTTCATCCACGTTCAAAATCGTCCTAAGACCTCGAATCGCTTAAAGCTCCTCTTTGCAGCAACGCATCTGATAAATCGTTCGATAATCCGCTTGATTCTCACAAATTATATCGCTCTTAAAATCGTCCTAAAGTCTATATTAATCCATAAGATTCTTTCCACTTCTTATTCAACTCCACATACAAATCGTCCGATACAGTCACATGTCACTTAGCGATCTGGCGCAACTAATGGGAATATTTTGAAATGTTTATATCAACAAGTCGGTCCTCCCTTTGAATTTACTATGCCCCAAGTCCCGCAGTTCGCGTTTCAGTGCGAGATATCGATTCCATGTCGATTAATAAAGCGCTTGGTACCATCGTCCGAATTTCTACGAGGACGGGTCGCGCGGACATCGTCCGAGCGGCGCGGTGGTGCGAGAAGGAAGGAGAAGCGCAGGTGTGAACGCGGAAGCGGAGAGGAATGAATCACCGGAGGAAAAAGCACGACGCGCATCATGCGCGGACTAACGCCACGCCGTTCGCCCGAGATCGGCGCGACCTGGGCGCGCGAGTAAATAAGCCCCCACCCCCGCATCGCGACGTACGTCGGCGTCGACGGCGGCATAGCGATGGCGCGCCGGCGAAGGTGACCAATCAACAGGCGCTAATTATCCCGGCCTATTGGCGAGTGACCGCTCGCAATGCTCGCATTCAATCGAGCATCGATACCTTCTTCCCCCGCGGCGATCCTTGCGGGAAGGACGAACGATAAGGTCCAATTTTAATAAGATACGTCGACGTCCACACACAAACGGCCCCAACAACGATAACGATTGGCTCCAGAAATTTTTCCGTAATTATTAGTTACAATATTCAAAACGTAATAAACAGAGAACGTTACCACGTGCACGATTCCCGCGCTATAATTTCAGCGTAGTAAATAGTTATTACGTAAGAAAGGTTACATAAAATAAACGTGAATTTATAATCACCGAATCGGGAGAAATCCGAGGGGAGCACAAAATGCTCTTTCGTGGAATCCACGTGTCGAAATTCAAATTGCACAACTCGGATGGAGTTTTCTTCATGCGTTGAATGTCGATTCGACACGAATGCGGCGCATTTTTGTTCCTTTGAGCTATAGAAACTCTCTAATCAGAATCAAAAGACACTTTTGATTGATCCGCTGTTTTAACAATTCCTGAGAAACAGATAGATAGATATTGCCGTTTATTTGTTATGAGCTTCAGGATTGCATCCTCATAGAGAAAAAGATTTGTTTGGACTCGAGAGTTCTATTTACATTTCATTATCATATTGAAACAAATTTAATTTTAAATGATACACATTTTGTTTAATCAAAAATTTAGTTTTAATGCAGACAATCACATTCTTAAATTGAATTGAATCGTCCAATGCATTGTTTAATTTAGAGAAACCTTTTCTCTGTGCTCTAAAACGCCAAAATTAAGCATACAACATTATGTATATTTATTACATATATTTACATGAACAACTAAGCTGAAGTAATACTATATAAGTACAATAAAAGAAAAAACAAAAAATTAAAAGAAAAATAAAAATAGATAAAAAGGAGATAAAACAAACGAATGAATGAATTATTATTTGTTTTGGGACCTGACATATAACTTCCTTTTAAACGCAGGAACGCTACAAAGTCGTGAAACATGAAATAAAGAAAAATACCATTGTAGAAACATTTCTGCTGTATACAAAAATTAAGAAAAAGAAATGACAATAATAAACTAATATAAATAGAAAATATAAGCGAGAGCGAAGAAAAAGCTGAAACAGAAAGAGAGGAAGAGATACGTCCTCTCTCGCGTGATTTTGCTAAAACTAGAAGCCCTGCATACAAACCTCGTATTTAGATTCCGATTAGAAGGTGTCTATTTCACGCGACTCGCGCGCGAGTTCGGCTATATATAAACCGCCAATTTTCACGCGAATCTTCGCGGGCTCGTGAGAGAATTTCGTTCCGTCGCGGCGCACGACGATTAGATAATCGAGACGAGCGTGATCGATTAATGCACGCGCGCACGCTCACTCGTTCTAGACTGTTCCGGAACGTGTCAACACGTCATGATCGTAGTGGCGTCGATCGTATGACGTCAAAGGTCGATTATAAGTTTACAATGCGCGGCTCATTTACGACCGTGTACCGACTTAATGCGAGATGCGTCGCGATAGCGTGCGGTTATCAATCTGTTGGATAATCTATCGTAATTGTTATTTATTACATGAAACCATAATTCCGCAGTTTCAGTAGATTTCATCGCTACCTCCCTACTTTTCCCTCTACTCGTGGGATCGCCACAATATTAATGTACAAGGCGCAAAAAAAAATACCGCGTTGCTCGAGATAGCATCGGAAGCTCTATATAAAGAGAAAGGATATTCTCTGTAAACGTCGGACTCTGAAGAAGTTCCTTTTTTTTCCCCCCTTGAATAACATTGCGCTTTCGAAAGTGAGCGTATAATGGTGGACGGTACGGTTGCATTTTTTTTTCGGGGCACTGAGAAAAATGGTCTGATTGGATTAAATAGTAATTCTGGTGGAAAATGGACGAATCAGAATTTTCTGGTTAAATCTACTAGAATTCTAGTTGAGATAATCAGAATTTTGATTGGTATAATTATTCCGGTAAAAATGAAAATTCTAGTAAATTTTTTACCAGAAATATTGCATCAACCAGAATTCCTGTTATCTCAACTAGAATTCTAATAAATTTAACCAGAAAATTCTGATTCGTTCATTTTCAACCAGAAATTTTTTTCAGCATAGCCATTTACGTTCGATCGATCTACGACTGAGTTCCAGAACCCATTGGAAAAATAAGTATCGCAACCATTCTGTCCACCTCCGAACAAGTTGAAATCTTTTGTTCAATGCAAAAAAAAATGAGATAGTCGCTGTATCCAAAATAAAACGCGCACTCTGTATGTATAATTTAGCGAGATGGTTACACAATAAAATAATGATTCCAGTAAATCGACGTCTCCGAGATATTACATAACGAGAGAAAAATCGCGTATGGTGGACAATTTTGACTTCCGCGGGATCGCCATTAGACACAAAAATCAGTCGGAGAGGGGAAGAGGATTCCCCCTCCACACAATAATCTACGTTCACATATCTACATTTGCCGATCCAGCTTTGGCGTTTTATTCATAAATCCGTGCGTCTTTGCGGTTTGTTTATGTACCGTTCTAATGACGTCATTTAAATAGTAGTTTTTCTTCGGCTTTTTTATTTTTACATAATGATCGGACTCTGTTGCGATCAAAATTCCCTCGTCACGAAACACCGCGGCGCGAATATCCACAATCTGCGCAGCGCGAAGACTCGCATGGACACTGGCGCGCCACACGCCAAGCGTGTAGGTATGCTTATTATTATTTATCGTTATTGTTATCTCGGTCGTCACGGAAACTCGAGACACCGATTTAAAAAACGCAGAAGTGCGACGCCTGAGAATTATTTATAGCAGTTGTTAAGAATGCGACTTTTTGCCCATAGACGTATTAATGAAGTAAATAGATGTTAAATAACTTCATTAATACGTCTATGGGGAAAAAATCGCATTCCTCTTTTTTTCCTTCGAGAGATTCAAATTCTGCAACGTGTGTCTAGACTCCATTATTTTTAATTCTAGTTTTACCGTCTGCTTTTTCTTTCAGAGATGAGAAATAATATGAAGTAATTGACGTAACAAATATAAAAAAAAAATGAAAAAGAATATTTAAAGAAAAAAGTAATAGCTTTTGTCTAAGTCTTCTTTTCTATATTTATTTCGGATATTTATATCTATGTTCTGCTTGTTGTTGCCTAGTTTTAGTTTCATATCAGTCATATATCATCGTATGAGCTCTCTTTCGAAGAAATGTTCTAAACTGGTGTACACTGGTACAATAAGTTAGAATGAAATTAACCATATTTGTTTCACTCCAATTCACAGCACCAGCGCACACCAGTTGAAAACATTTTTCGAAAAGAGCAAACCTGCATTGAATTTACTGGCATAAATTTAGATTAAACCACTAACGTTATTAAAACCTCAGGATTACTCAAACAAACTACTAATGTGACTGCAATGTATAACTTAGTTAATATAGTTAATACAGATTAGATAAATTGTAAATGCAATTTAAGACTACATTTACCTCAATCTCCACTAAAAAACTAAATTCTATATATTAGATCGAAACAAATGTTTGTAACACTACAAACTTCAAAATTTAAGCAACTATAATTTCGAAGAAAATAAAATTTAAATTAAAAAAAAAAAAAAGATTTTAAAGCTTAAAACCTCTACTTTCGAAGGAATACTATGTCTTTTAAAGTTGCTGCGAGTTTGGTAATTTTTATATAGTAGAAAACTACGAGCTGGACAAAATGGGAAATTTTCTCCTCATTTTGTGGGCCCTAAAAAAAACTTGCGAAAATTTCTGACTTTTTAACGTGAAAGCTTTGAAGTTTTCCCTGCAGAAAATCGTTTTTAAAAAAGGTTCCTAAAACTTTTTGTTACTGAATTCATTAAAGCTGAAACTTTGCTCTATCAAACGAATAATTGCCAAAATTTTTTTAAAACGTATAGATACGATAAAAGTGAAATATCGCTACGAACTTTTGTGCCAGTTCAATATTATATATATAGATTTATATATAGATATTACACATATATATACGCACATTCGCGTACGCATATCAAACGAGTAAATTCTCTCCTACCTGAACCATCACGAATGCCAAGCCATATTTAAATGCACTATGTATGCAAATATGCATGTACTATTCAAATTTCCTTGTAAGCTGAACCTTACGGATATAAACGTTTCATTCAACTGCCTCGTAATCTCTCCTAAAGTATGAATAATTCGAGTTTATCCCTCTCCCATCTCCCTGCCGATCGTTCCTCCGATCGTCATTCCGTCGCTCTCGCGCGGAAAAGCAACGAATGCAATAAAGTCCAATGTGCGCAAGACAATCGCGCTCAACGACATGTTTGTTGCTTGCTCTTCTCCTCCTCCACCGCCACCTCTTCCTCTCGCTCTTTACACGCGCCTACCGTTCAATTATGCGCTCACGCATACACACGCGCGTGTTTATGCACGTGTACGTGTACCGACGAAGGAGGGACTTCTGTATGCTCGCTGATAGCGCGGTAAACGTCTGTAAGCTTGCTACTCCCATTAGTCACGCTAGACGATTACCGGTCGCTTCGACGACGTTGATGGGTCACATGGAAAACCTGTGATGAGTTTTTGCGAAAAATCGATCGCGGCCGAGCGTGTTTCCCCAGATGTTGATTATTAGGTACACGTCATGCATCGAACGACTTAAGCTGGAAACACAATGGGCACAGGCAATAGGCTCTGGGGTGTATAAGTTCGATATTATATCCCAGAGCTCTGACTGGACGACTCGTTATTCCTTGTTGTCTGTGTCTATTGTGTTTCTAGCTTTACATGAAGTTTAGTACTCTTAG